GGGTGAGCGGAATGGCCAGTAGCGTCCCACTGGGGCATTGTGCCCCTCTGCCATGGTTCTGCACATGCCAAAGTGCCCCTCACCAGGGTGTCTGACCCCTGCCAGGCCTGAAGAAGATCCTGGAGGTGGGCAGCACGGTGTGCGGCAGCCCGGGCAGCCTGCCTGTGACGGAGAACAGCCGGATGAGTGCCTCCGTCCTGCTGAGCAAACTGTACGAGGACCTGAAGTGCGATGCCGAGAGGGAAAACTTCCACCACCTGTGCGAGGACTACGTGAGGTGAGCCGGGGGTCCCAGGGGCTCGGGGGTTCGGTCACCCACAACCTGGTAGGACCTGTCACTCTCAGTGCTAAAGTCAACTGCAGACCCACTGTGGGGGTATTCAGCAGGTGGAGCAGGAGGCAGCAGGTGGGATCAGCTTGACCTTTTTTGGTGGTCTTTGTGCACAGGGGCTGGTTCGAGGGGCACGAACTGCTGGGGAAGCTGCGGGCTATCCAGACGGTGTCATGCCTGCTGCAGGGCCCCTTGGACGCAGGCAACAGGGTGCTGGAGCTGGAGGGCATCATGGACAGCGTGCTGTCCCTGTGTGCCTCTGTCTGTGAGGCCCACCAGCTGGTAGCGGTGGAGGCGCTGATCCATGCGGCCGACAAGGCCAAGCGTGCCTCCTTCATCACAGCCAACGGCGTCAGCCTGCTCAAGGAGATCTACAAGCACAGCGAGAGGGACAGCATCCGCATCCGTGCGCTCGTGGTGAGTGCGGCGGGATGGAGGAGCCACGGGGATGAGCCCCGGGGCGGGCTGTGGGTGCAGGACCACCACTCACAGCACTGCCCTTCCCTGCTGGGGGTCTGGGAGGCACACTGGGGTGCTCGTGCCCATTCCTGCTCCCCCATTCTGGTCCTGGCTGCAGGGGCTCTGCAAGCTGGGATCTGCTGGCGGTACTGACTTCAGCATGAAGCAGTTTGCCGAGGGCTCCACCATGAAGCTGGCCAAGCAGTGCCGCAAGTGAGTGGGGCCGGGTGCGGAGGGAGTGGGCAGGGTGCCTCACAGATGGGCTCCTGCAGCTGGGCTCAAGGACTGTTCTCCCAGGTGGCTCTGCAATGAGGCCATCGACGCAGGCACACGGCGCTGGGCTGTGGAAGGCCTGGCCTACCTCACCTTTGATGCAGATGTCAAGGAGGAGTTTGTGGAGGACAAGGCAGCAATGCAGGCCATGTTCCACCTGGCCAAGGTATGTGCCAAGCACTGCAGGGTGGGCACCCTGACACCAGGGAAACATGCCAGAAGGGGTGTGGGGCTCACGCTGTGGGGTGGGGTATGTGGAAGATGTTGGGTGGGCTCCAGCCCTGGCTGCTCCTCCCTGCCACGAGTGTGATGTGTGACCGTTATCACTGCAGTCAGAGGACAGGAGTGTGCTCTATGCTGTCGCCTCCACGCTGGTGAATTGCACTAACAGCTACGACCATGAGGAGCCGGACCCGCAGATGCTGGAGCTGGCCAAGTACGCCAAGCAGCACATTCCAGAGCAGCACCCCAAGGTGAGTGGGGTATGGCTGTGCTCAGGAGGAGAGGGGAGGGTGGGACAGGGTGTCCTTGGGGCCCACAGGGGTGAGGTCAGGCACCTCGCCAGCCAGCTGGTGCCCCTGAGCCAACTGTGACCCCACCTGTGGGACAGGACAAGCCAGAGTTCGTGAAGCGGCGGGTGCGGAAGCTGTTGATGGCCGGCGTGGTGTCGGCTCTGGCCTGCATGGTAAAAAGTGAGAACCCGGCGCTCACCAACTCCTGTCGGGAGCTGATCTCCAGGTATGGGTGTGCTAAGGGACAGGAGGGAGCTGGGTTTCCAGGCTGCTGACATCCTGCTGGCCAACTTACGTGTCCATGGTGAATGATGGCTCCTGGACAGTAATGGGAATGTCCAGGAGTCCGGTGCAGCCTGGGCCCCCTGCAGCTGTCTGGGTGCTCCAGCTGCTCCCACTTTGTCCCTAGAGTGTTCCTGGCACTGGTGGAGGAGGCAGAGGACCGAGGTGGCGTGGTTGCGCAGGGAGGAGGCAAGGTGAGGGGATGGGACCCCACTGTGCTGTTACCCTGCACCGATCTGGGTGGCTGGGGCTCGAGGGGGCTGGGGGTCTCTGCTTTGCAGGGGCCAGACTTGCTGCCTCGTACATGAGGCTGCTGTGGGCTGGCTGCAGGATGAGCTGCTGTTTCTGCTCACAGGCTCTGATCCCACTGTCCCTGGAGGGCACTGAGGTGGGGCAGACCAAGGCAGCACAGGCCCTGGCAAAGATCACCATCACTTCTAACCCAGAGATGGCATTCCCTGGGGAGCGGGTGAGTGCTGTGGCTGGGAAATGGGGGTCAGGTCTGCCAACCAGCGGCTCATGTAAGAACAGCAGTGGGCACTGACTCAGTCCCATGTGTGCTGTCTCTACAGATCTACGAGGTGGTGCGACCCCTGGTCAGCCTCCTGCACCTGCAGCGCACGGGCCTGGAGAACTTTGAGGGGCTGATGGCCTTGACCAACCTGGCCGGCATCAGCGAGAGGCTGCGGTAAGAAGGGAGGAGAGGGGAGCTGACTGTTCCCTCAGGCCCAGTGGGCTTCCCTGGGCAGGGAGCACTCACACTCCCCACCCTGCAGGCAGAAGATCCTGAAGGAGCGGGCTGTGCCCATGATCGAGGGCTACATGTTTGAGGAGCACGAGCTGATCCGGCTGGCTGCGACTGAGTGTATGTGCAACATGGCCATGAGCAAGGAGGTGAGGGCTGGGCTGGGCTGGGGTCTGCGCTGGGCTGCTGGACCCCCACACCCCCACCCATCCCCTCCTCATCCTCCTGTGCAGGTGCAGGAGCTGTTCCTGGCAGAGGGCAGCGACCGGCTAAAGCTGATGGTCCTGTACAGCGGGGAGGAAGATGAGAAGCTGCGTCGGGCAGCCTCGGGGACCCTGGCAATGCTCACTGCCCTGCACCCTCCCATCTGCAAGCGCATCCCCCAGGTGGTGAGTGCCCAGCAGTGGGGCGGGACAGCACCCTGTGTCCCTTATTCCCTCCCCATGGTGGCCTGGAGCTCTGTCCCAGTGCTGGCCCCAGAAGAGGGAGCAACCTGTCCTGACCCCTCAGCCTGACTAATCTGGGACTGTCAGGGAGGAGGAGCTGGCTCCCTTCTCTCGAGGGGCCATGCTGATGTTGGCCCCACTCCCCTGCAGACGGTGCACTGGCTGGAGATCCTGCAGGCCCTGCTGCTGAGCCCCAGCGCCGAGCTGCAGCACCGCGGTGCCGTAGTGGTGATGAACATGATGGCGGCAGCACGGGAAGTGGCTGAACAGCTCATCGCCAGCGAGATGCTGGAGATCCTCTCGGTGCTGGCCAAGGACAAGGACAAGCCGCGAGTGGCCCAGGCAGCCCAGGAGAGCCTGGCCCAGGCTGTGGCCTATGGCCTGATCAAGCCCAACCCTGGCCAGGCCTGAGGGCCCGCGGGGCTCACGCACACGCTGCACACGCTGCCGGGGCTGTGCTCACACGCTGCCGGGGCTCCGGCACACGCTGCCGGGGCC